CCAGTGTATATAGATACCATTCCTTTATATTCAGATAATACAGGTATGAATCTTCAGAAGTATCTTTAAATATTTTTGTAGAGTCACTTTTTATAAAACAATGACAAAGAGCAAAACAGAAGTAATATTTAGAAAGTCATCTGAAAAAGAAGTCTATATTTTCTTATAATTATGAGATAAAATTGTATTAGAAAAATCTTAAATTATGATTCTCTATGGTTATCATTGTCTAGATAAATTTTAATAACAGTGTAAAAAAATGATTAAACTGAAAACTTGAAAATGTGGAATACTAAACTGATATTCTAAACAAATTTTTAAAAACTCACTGGAAATATTTATTTAATTTACAAATTATCAGAAATATTTACATTCTTAATAATTATGTTAATATTTTAATATAGTGAGTAAAAAGGGGCTACACACAATTCTTACGGGTTTTTTCACTCAGTGAAATTGGCTGAAATTTTACTGTTTTTGAATGACTAATGAAGTCTCAACAACAAAGCTTGAAAATACTAATAATTTTGCTAGATCCATTCAACTATGCAAAAGGTGTACTGTACAACAAGGTGGTCACAAAAGTCTCTCCCCCCAGCCAATTATTTCAAAAAGATCAATCACCATAGATAAAAATTATATACTAATACTTTTTGAACTAAATGGCCAGAGAATACAAATGTATTCTGACAGTTTGTGCCAGTGCTGTGGCGCTTCAATCTTTGGCTATGTCTTGGGCTACTCAAATATTTTGTTTTTGATACTAAATTAACTTCTGAAGTATAATTTTTTATTGTTTTTATATTTATCAATATATTTATTTTGTTTGTACAAAATAAAGAAATAATTTTTAACGATACAATAGCCACGATTATTATTTTAAAAAGTTTACGTTAGGCTTAACATCGACGAAAATTCAACGCGAAGCGACACGCAACGGAGAAAAATTTCAGGATGGGATAGGTTAATATATTTTTTCGTACATAATCGATTATCCGAAAAATAAGTTATCCGAACAACCCCAGTCTCCAATTGATTCGGATAAACGACGCTCTACTGTATATATATATGGACGAGTGTGTCCCTATATAATTGCATGAATTTTAAATGTTGCCCGGAAATTTCAGCAACTCTTTGCTGGTTTATTTCGTAATTGACAAGCAGGGAACTTAACTCAAACTGACAAATTGCTGAAACACGTTTTGTGAAATAATGACTCGATTAATTTTAACAAAATTTTGCACATTCATAGAAGTAATAAAATGGCGCGATTAAACATCAAGAATATGTACCCAACTATAACACATAATAATTAATTAATGATTCCTTAAAACATACGAACTGTCCTGATTAGCTTTAAAATTTGATTAATTTAATATTGAAAGAGGAATATTTCAAAATCAAAGAATTTTATAAACCGATTGAGGGCACGCTAATGTGAAGTTGTATAGACGCAAAATTTGTAGAGTTAATTATAATATATACTAATAGTAAGATAATAGAAATTAAAGGAGTGATAGAATATTTCTGTTATGTTTATCATTATTTGATATTTTTTGATAATATCATAAATAACGAGCAATTATTTATTGTGACATTGTAACAATGTCGGGCTGCAATTTTTAATTATATTTTTAATTTATTTAACTTAAATTATGTGCTCTTCACCTCAAATTAGTAATGTCTAGCCCCTGTATGTCTACTTTTCCTGTTAGCAATAGAGTCGTGCCAGTCTAACTGCTTTCAGAGAATACAGTGACATTTGAATTTAAATAACGCGACTTCTGGTTTTCGTCAGAAGTTCGTATATAGTTAATCGTAGCCTACTGCCCCTTCTCTTTCTATGTCTGGCCTCGGCTTTCATTACTTAACTCCGTTCTCGAGAATAAGGAAAGACACAAAACAAACAGACAGCAACAGACAACAGTGAGAATTTTTCAAATCGCAGTCCATTGAATATAATATAAGAATAAAAACGTGACTGTTCAATCAATCGTTATTATTTAATATTATATGAACCTTTCCAAAAGAAATAAAATCATTGAAAACAGGTATTGTAGTTAAAAACATTCTACACAACGAAATGAATTAACGAGGCCAGATTGAGTTACAATTACCTGCAGATGAAATAAGAGAAGGGTTTGTGAGTTGATTTAGTTTCCGGTTTTCGTCAACACTGTTGTAAAGAAAAAGTTACAAATGCGCATATAAAGGTTCAAATTTCGGAAATTCCATGACACGCGTTCGTCAGAGATTACAAAACTTCGTTGCACAGTCAGCGCTCTGATGTAACATGTTGCCATCGTATACATACATGGTCCCTTGAGTTTACATTTTTCGAGGGATCGGCAACGAAAAGTCTAAACTCCAAAAAAAAAAAGTCAGCAAATTTAAAAAATTAAAAATTATAATTTTTGCTTTTAAACAAGTTTAAAAATTAGAATAGAACATTCGTGAAAATTCAGTTTATTGTCGGTATTCAGAATAATAAAGCAAGGAAGTGATACATATGTATTGTACATCAAAATATTTTAAATAAATAAAACAAATGAGATTACAAGCGGGATTGTTGTAATAAGAGCAACAGAAGAATCTTCAGGACTAACTCAGAAAGAAACAAAATAAAGAACAATAGCAATTAAAAATCTCTCATTTACATAATCAAAATTGTTTTATCAAAAACTTAATAAAGAACAAAAATTGAATGTGCGGTGTTATATAAAGCCCTCCAAAATTTGGATGGGCTTTAACTTTTGTCTAAAAATCGGCAATTGAAAACTTTTGTTGGGCAAATGTGGGCAAACGGCGAACAAATAAACGGCATAAATTACTTTGAAAAACACGCAATTGTGGTTGCCAACGTCTCATACGTAAGAAAAAAGTTTAAAAATCTCACTTAACGTCATCAAGTAACTGTATAAATAAGCAAATTTTAGGAAAAAATCAATTTTGTTGGTTGTAATGTTTTAGAGGGCGCCCTTCAATTCACAGATGAGTGCATTTCTAATAAACACTTTAATAAGACACTGAAAAAAACTGCATAAATATGTTGCATTGCCGTAACCGATGTCTCCAATTCAGTTATTATTATTATTATTATTGCACTTTATTTCACAAATTATAATACATATCATTAAATGATTCTTAATATCCTTAATTATATCTTTAAATTTAAGCATCATTCTGATAAAAAAATCAAATAAATCATTTGAAACGTTCACTTTATTAATTAATATCTACTTGTACAGTACATCTATTTTATTTTCGAATGAAATTGTATCGGTGTTGTCATTATATAGCCTATATAAATATATACCTATTATTTTACAATATAATTAAAAATTATGATTTACATTCCATGAGACATGATATACAAGGATATGTAAGCAAAGTTATATTTCTATAGTCTAGAAAAACCTTTAACTGTTTAATTTGCAATATTTCAAAGAAAGTTAAAAAACAATTAAAATTTTGGGTTTGGTAAAATTTGTTTGGATCTAAACAAATAATTAAAAGACGGTAAATAGTTTAAAAACTTTGGCCTTAATAATTTCTTAGTGCTGAACCATGTGTATTTTCGTATTTAAAGACATAAACTTGACTTAAGCCAGAAAAACATCACTTACGAGGTTTTCATTCTTGGCTGTCGATTTACAGATTACACTTTTTAGCTTAATATAAAAATACTGTACATTAGAGAGAATCACAAATAAGTTTTAACAAATATTTTTTCAATTGCAATTTAATTAATGATATACTATCACATATGCGTTCTATATACATATGAATATACTATATTGCATTTCTATAATAAAATATATATCTAATTTCTATAATCATTAAAAAATTTGATATAATACTTCCAGTCGAGAGATTTGGATATTAATTTTTCAATGCTGCTATCTGAAGAAATAATGCAATTATCGATGCGAAGAAACTATAAAGCTAAGAAAAATGACATTAATCGATCATCCAAAATTTCTATAAATAAATATAATTAAAATTGATTTACCTGAAGTATACTTTCATTGGTAATTACATGATCACAGAAAATTGTTAAACCCAATGGAAATGATGTTCCCTTTATCATGTAGTTCAACTAAATTATATAAAAATCACATATCCCATAATATATAATATATCTTAATTATAAATTATTATATTTATAATATATAGGCCTACATAATTAAAAATTATAAAAATGTTTCTGTGTTTTTCAGAATACGCACTCTATACTAAAAATAAAATGTGATAATTAATAAAGTATTTTGACTTTGAAAATCTGATTGAAAAAAAAATTATTCTGTCTACGTGAGAAAGGCACTCTAAAAAATATGATGAAGTCAAATAGACGAAACTCATTTTTACAAGTAAAGATGTACAATTGCAAAAAGAAGTGTACATTACAGATATGTATAGTGTTTATTTCATGTTGAAAAATTGTAAATCTGATCTAAAGATTTGACTTAATATTAATTTAATTTTAATATTACGGAGTTAAGACTCTAGTATTAGAATGAAATTTTTGATATAATTGTTATTTTTTGAGATCGAAATTTTATTAATAATGATAGAATAATAATCTACTTAGATAAAATCCTCTTTGATGACAATACAGTACGATATTAATGAACACCTTAGAAAATAATGTATGATTAATAAATCACATAAAAATTATTTTGTGTTTAATATTGATAATGTTATAAAATATGAAAACTTTACTAACGTTTACAATATTAGAGAAATATTTCTAAAATAATTTTGTTTTTAAGAGACTTAACAAAAATTACACTCCCGAAAATTATAAACGTGTATGTGTATGTGTATTATTACTAAATGATAGCTATATGAGTAAGTGTTCATCTCACGTTGTCAAATTGTAGGGGAGATCGGGGCAACTTCGGCATGCGGGGCAAGTTTGTCAAGCGCTTTTTTTTAAAAACAAATTAAAAGGAGACTTTGGTTATAGGTTAGGCAGTTGAGTTTTATTGGTGGCTTGTTGAGTGTAGTGTTTTTATTGTTCTCCAACAAGCGTAGTTGAATTATCAAGCAAATTTTCATTTTCGTTCAATTCCATATAATATTTTTTTTCCATTTATATTGAATTGGCAGGTTTTGTTATAATTCCATGATAACGAAAGTTACTTTTCCTGTTAGAAGGATGTAACTTCAACTTATTCACGTGGCCAGATCGTGGCTTGGCATTCTGTTCTCAGGGTTGTACTTAATGTTTCGAAATCATGACTAGCGGGGTAAGATCGGCAACATAAAGCCACATTAGAAGCAAAGGATAAAAATCAAACAGATGATAAATGAAAACATGTTTGCATTTGTTATTCATGTATATATGTCTTTGAACTTGCATTTCGTTGTAATAATATTAAATGGGTGTTGGATTTGTATTTCTTTGTTTTAATAGTGAATTCCAACTTATACATTGTTAATAACATAATTTTATATACGTGCCTATCTTGCCCCATTACTGTTGCCCCTATACCAGGGGCAACTTTAATAAAAATAATTAAAATAATTACAACTTTACAAAAAGAGAGAAGTTGCCGATCTTGCCCCTATACCCGGGGCAACTTCGTCAATTTCTCTCTTCTTGTAAAGTTGTAATTATTTTAATTATTTTTATTTCCAAACTGATTTTAACCAGTTCTATAGTAAGGTAACATTCCAATAGACAATATGCAAAGCTTTTTTTTCAGTTTACAGCAGTATTTATTACACAAAATTTAAGTGAAGCTTAACATGCCGATCTTGCCCCGATCTCCCCTAAATCTGACCTAAATATTTGACTTTGTTTATTTCTTATATTTTAATATAATCTTTAATAATTTTACGTATTGTACTGTACAGTACATATGAAGTACATTGAGAGAAGTTAATCCGATAAGGGCAGTCACATGCTGAGAGATGGGTCACTACATATTCTCAACAGACCATCCCCATGAGATTGTTTTAAGAAACTTTTAAAAGATTCATTTTCATATGCTTCAGTTTTTATTTTTATAGATAAGAAAGCCTTACATTTTTTTTACTATCGAATTGTTTATTTTAGTACTTGTTTACTCATTTACTTCTTTCTTGCTAATATTCGTATTGTTTTAACAAAATTATTCATAAAAATATATCACTAATTTTATATTCTTATCACTAATTTCTTAAAAGAATCGCACTTTGAACCATGATGAAACGTGTGAGATTCCTGTAAGCAACACATCCTTTCCAATGTGTTTGCATCCGATAAATAAAACAACTTAAAATTGATTTATTATTTTCTAGAAACTGCAGTCAAAAATTTTTAATTATTACGTGTAGAATTACTTTTCCATAAACGTTACTCAATTTTTAAATATGCTTAAAAGTAGTCATTTGGTTGCTTTTCCTTGTATATCAAAATAAATGAAGGTAAGATTATTTAATAAAAATAAGTGAAAATATCAGTAATTAATTTAAAAAGCAGGAAATATTTATTACTTATAACAAACAGTTCGAAAATGAAAGAAGGTTAAATATTTAAAATAAACAAAGTTGTGTTTATCTATGTAAATATGACTTCAATACGACAGTTAATAAAGTAACTCGTAAAAGGCGTGGTACAGTACATAAAAATGAATCTATGCAAACACTACAGGTGCGATAGCAATGTGAAGCATGTATCAATAAATATGAAGTCAGGGAAAACCTTTCCGCATAACCTTCCTCAAATTTTTTTGACGCCCAGATACCATACTGGGAACTCCAGAGCATTAGAGTTAACCTTTAATCGCAACGTCCTTCACACCATATATTGAATATTATAAATAATATTTTAAATGATAAAAACATCGTGCTAATTACTCATTTCTCTCGTTTAACATGCTATCTGTCCCTCATTAGAGGTCATGCAATACGACTTCTAATTAATAAGATATATTAATTATAGAAGTCTCTTATAACATATTAGAAATAAANATACTAGCTGTTACCCGCGGCTTCGCTCGCGCGGATTTTGCAAGCAAACCATATTTATATTCAATATTTCAACAACCATAGTAATTGTTATTTAACTCGAGAACAAAATATAAAAAGAAAAGACGAAAAATATTAGTAAAATAATAATAATTTCATTGTATCCCACATTGCCAAATTTAACACATTATAAAATTAGACATTCTATAAAATCAAATATACATATTTATACAAATATAGAATAACATAGCAATATTTCTATTTGTAAATGCAAGCTATAAGTCATTTTAATAAAATTTAAAATGTTACTCTCTTAGCATTAAATTACACTTTAAAAAAAAATTTAATATTTTTACCAAAATACAATCTTTTGAATTTGAAGCAATGCACATCATCCTCAATAACATCTTTCGATACGTTTGCACCTATAAATAACATTTCATCAAAAGAGTAAAATAAATTTATAAAATTTAAACATTTCAATGCGCTTACCTGCCGAAAAATTAAAGCAAATACTTTCAATGCCAAACAAAGAAGGGTAAACACTACAAAAATGACCACAATGCAAAAGAAAAACGATTCTTCCGAAGAAACTTGGAAAATTAATTCATATAATACGAAAACTGTAAGACTAAAAAAGATAAGAATTCCAAACGAAATGAGAGTTGATAATATTTCGTTTAACTTGGTAACAATTTTGCATAATGTAAGATATAATTCAAAAATTGCTGGAAATGAAATATCGTTGTTTTCTTTTATGCTTTTGTTAATATCTTCAATAATTACTAACTCTGCAAAATATATAATAAGCAACATAATGGCCAACGCAAAGATGGCCGAAAATACTGATCCAATTCCACAAATTATAAGAAGAGAATCAGTTGTTGTAACAAAAATTAATTGTATCAAGTTTGCGCCAAGTTGAAAATAAATTAGGAACTTCCAGTTTAAACTTATCATGGCGACAATTATAGCGAATGAAAGGATAACTGTAAAAGCCAAAGGGATCCAGAAACTTATTAGACGACATATAATAGAATTTATTTTATCCTCGAATTTTCTTAAACACTTCATACTTTTAAAAATATTTATAAATGAAGTTAATTGTTTCATTGTATTTTTAAATAAGAAATTAAAGAGAAGAACAATGACAAATGCAATACCAGAACAAATTGTCGAAGCGATAAGAGCGGATTCTTCTTTCCAAAATTTTACGAAATTAGACATAAGATATAAATCTGAATATTGTAAATTAAGTACAACTAAGAAATATTCAATTGTTATGTAAATAAACATCATGAAAATCGACAAACTGTACGATTTCGTAAATATTTTTAGGTACAAATGACAATCTTCCTTTATGTTTGAGTATAATCCGAAAATTTGCATATAGTTCGACAGAGCTAATTGTAGTCCGTGTAGTTGTTCAAACATATTGCATTTAAGGAAATTATTTCAACATGAAAAGACCAATAGTTTCTGATGTTGGTTAGAAAGCTGTGATGTACTGTACAGTATGTTCATCTATCGATTTAGAACTTCATATAATGTAAACGTAGCGGTAGTTCTATTGATTTTTAAAGTTAATTCTCTTTATAATCATAAAGTAAACACAGTCTAATTTAACATAATTGGTAATTTTAATTAAAATTTCATATTATATGACTAAATATAGATAAGCAAGAATTTGTAAATTCGTGCTTATCTGTGTTTTTTTTTTCATAACATACAGTTCGTAAATGTAATGCGTTTAATATTTACATTAAATTTCTCTATCGATCTCTATAAATTTAATGAAATTTATATAAGAGATTCGCAAAATATTTTTAAAATCCAAATTTAATCTGTTATTATACAAACGGAAATACAGTCCTCCCTGTAACACGGTAGATACGTTCCGTTCTTTATGAAATTCATTCATGCATTCATTGTCATTGACGATAGTGGAGTGCTGCAGCTCTCGCCTTTCACTCCGAAGAAACAGAGGAAATGATCGCACAGCGACCGAAGAGGCGACCTTATCGAAGCCACCAATCCGAGGAAGACAGGAGAGAGGTCACGAAGCGACCAAAGCCGGCCTTATAGGAAACGACCCACACGAGAAGGAGAGATAGAATGCCTTCCGGGAGGACTTGGAGGGAAAGCTGGCGCCTATTCAAGCGTCATTGACAAGGAGGAAAATCCGGAAAAACTGCCGCTGCCAGCTGAGGCGCGAACCCCGCTGCCAGCTCCGAGTGAGGCGCGAGCCCCCCATCGAACTCCGGTGTTTAGGGTCTGGTCACCACCATTAAGCGGAGACGGAGTCCACTCGGCCACCTTTATGAAAGTCATGTTTTACGAGTCCTTAAATACATGAGCCAATCACGGCCCGGCACGTGCGCAATTTACGGACTACGGCTGTTTGAAAGGTTTTATTCCATAAAATTAATCGATTCTAGACTAATTCGACTCAACATTTTCAAAACACGTATAATTTTTTGAAAATAATCCGTATAAACTATACTATAAACAAAAATTGTAGGATTACTTACCGAGTGTGCACCGTTCGACGACGCCATTGCTTAAGCTTGTTTTCGTCGGGAAGCGGCGCACCAAACTGCGGCCGCGTTTTCTAATAATTTATTTTTCTGCGAAAAATTCGCTGAACTTTGGCGACATCATTAATAGAAATAATTTTATGGCCGTTGAATAAGAAATGTTTTTTTTCACAAGAAATGTATAAAATTACAGCACTGTATTAGACTTACAGTACCTAATTTATATACTGTACAGACGATAGTAAACTCAACTTACTCGCCTAAACTGTCTGTACTCTGTAAGTAGTTCGGCTGCTCGTCTACTATTGGTCCGGATTCGACCAATGCTGTCGTGACACGAGTCGGCGATGACGTTTTACCGCGTTTTACGAGTCTCTTTTAGCAACTTTATACGAATACTGTTGCAATTTTTTCGCCGCGTTATAGGAATTCGCATTATAGGAACCCGCGTTATAGGGGTCTACTGTATATTAAAAATTGCCTTTGAATTACGTAGAAATTTTCACAAGTAGAAAAAATTTATTATAGTTTGCTGGAAATCGCATATAACAACAACAAAATGCTTTGAATTGAGTTGAAAATTTAAATAAATAAACTTAGATCAAACTTCTAACTTAAAAAGTAATTTTCGTTTATTAAATAAAACATAATACAAAATATTATTGTAAATTTTTATAATAAGATTTTAAAAAGCAAATATAGTCAATACTCCCATCATTCAATCTGATTCTTATTTTAGTAATGAAAAGTTCTGCTACCGAGAATGCCCTTCCCGATTCAATTGATGTCAGTGTAATCGTGTTATGAAGAGAAGATACCTGTAGCCTGGAAGATTTCTAGTTCGTTTTACAGATTGTATTAGTACTTTTGGTTTCTAGTATTCTTGATTTGTCTACCTCGGCTGCTTTAATAGAAATATTAAGCTTATAGCCCACTAATTCGGCAGTTCGTTTGTCTTTAATAATCAGCTTTATGAAGAAAAACTTCATACTTGCAGACTTCTTACTCGTTTGTATCCTTGCCCAATTTGCACAACCTGGAATTACGCAGTTATTGAAGCTAGCGGGAGTGGTTAAAAATTAAGACAGCGTAAGCACAATTATTCCAGATATTACAGGTTCTGACAAGTAAACAATTTTCACATGCTGACACAAATAAGCTACGTATTGATTATTGACCATTTGTGACATGCCATAACGAGCAAAAATTTAAAAAACTAACAAGCAGGTTTACAATTAATAAATACAAATGTATTCTGACAGTTTATGAGTTAATTATAATTTCTATTTGCAAAATTTCTTTAATCTTAACAGTTAACACTAAATAAGAAAAACTAGGGTTGCTCAAACGGGATCCCGGGATCCCGTTTGAGCAACCCTAGTTTTTCTTATTTAGTGTTAACTGTTAAGATTAAAGAAATTTTGCAAATAGAAATTATAATTAACTCATAAACTGTCAGAATACATTTGTATTTATTAATTGTAAACCTGCTTGTTAGTNCAAACGGGATCCCGGGATCCCGTTTGAGCAACCCTAGTTTTAATGACATATTACAAAGTAGTGCGCATTTTATTTTATTTTAAAAAATAAAATAATGCAATTATTAATAAAATGTTCGGGAAGTTAACTTTAACGCTAAGGAGAACGAAACATATACATGGTATTTCTATTAATAAAATCCCCGTGCTTTTGTTGATAGAATTTTTAAATTTTTCTTAAAGCACGAGAAAAGGGCGCAAAATTTCTATTTTTTTTTAAATTGTAAGCCGTTTTTAAACTCTCTCGTTGTAATGTTGGCATTTTTCATTAAATGATACACAGCCGTAGAAATAAATAACTTGTGTCGTTCGTGTGGCATTGAGAGAATATAATGAGAGAGTGGTCATACGAATGGCTGCAGCCATGTCTTTTCTCAAATGTTTATTTATCCGCACCCGCGTATTATACTTAGTTGGAAACATACAAATAATCTAGCACTGATTTAAATGAAAGTTCGGACTACAGAAAATAAATGTCGTTTTTTCAGTTTTTAGAATTAATTTTTACCATTATCATTTGTTTATTTAAATGGTTGTTTTACAAACTTTCCTATTGTGTTTAGATGGAAAAATAGTGATACAGATTGTTTAAGAAAACAATTCCTGTTATCGATTGCTTACGTTCTTACATTCCACAAATTTCAAGGATTAACATTAAATAAAATTGTTGTCGACATAGTCAAAGAAAACAGTCACAGGACTCTTACCTCCCTCTTAGCAGAGTGAAGAAAATCAGTAATTTAATACTTGATTCATCATTTAGCATATCAAAAATAAACAATTTACCAAACATGACAAGTCGATGCGAGAGAATTTTTCTTAAATAAATTGTAATTCTGAATTTTTATCTGTTTTAATTAATAAAATTGTTCTTGCGTGTTATATTATATAATACAGCTCCGACTTTAATGCCCTTCAATCATCACGTATTTAAAGTAATTTTGCATAAAAATTTAACAAGAATTGCGATAATAAACGTAAATCAAGCAATGCATGAGAACACAATAATGTCGGTATCACGGGCGTGAAGTCTAAGAGACCAATCAACTTTGGAAGCCAGCATCATTTAAAATATTATAAGAGCAGAACGGCATTTTCTCTTCTTACAGTTGACATCTATGATGAATATCTATAAGTAATTATGCAAACGATAGAGGTTTTTATTTTCCGATGCGTAAATTACACATACACCTCATTGAAAATTATAAATTTTTAAGAAAACCACTATAAAACAATATATTTTTAATACAAAACGTTTGTGTAAAAATTTTTCTAGATTTAAATCAAAATATTATCCACATATTTTCATACAGTTGAATAATAATAAT